TGCATATGTTGAATGAGGTATTTTAGAGTTCTGAATAAGGCAACCTGTTTAAATTGTTTCTTTTCTTTTTCTTTCTTTCTTTCTTTCTTTCTTTCTTTCTTTCTTTCTTTCTTTTTTTTTTTTTTTCCAGAGACAGTCTTGCTGTGTTGCCCAAGCTGGAGTGAAGTGGCTCACTGTAATCTCAAATTCCTGGGCCCAAGTGATCCTCCTGCCTTAGCCTCCTGAGTAGCTGGGACTACAGGTGTGAGCCACCATTCCCAGCTAATTACAAAAAAAATTTTTAGTAGAGGTGAGATCTTGCTATGTTGCCCAGGCTGGTCGTCAACTCCTGGCCTCAAATGATCCTCCCACCTCAGTCTCTCAAGTGCTGGGATTATAGGTGTGAGCCACCAGGCCTGGCCAACTCTTAAGTTTTTAAAAGGGCAATGAAGTTTTTGCTTTTTGGGTTTTTTTTTTGAGACGGTGTCTCACTGTGTTGCCCAGGCTGGAGTGCTGTGTGTGCAATCTTGGCTCACTGCAACCTCTGCCTCCCAGGTTCAAGTAATTCTTCTGCTCCAGCCTCCTGAGTAGCTGGGACTACGGCGCATGCCAGGATTCTTGAGACAGGGTTTCACCATGTTGGCCAGGCTGGTCTCAAACTCCTAACCTCAAGTGATCTGCTTACTTCAACCTCCCAAAGTGCTGGGATTACAGGCATGAACCACCGTGCCCAGCTGGGCAATAAAGATTAACAGGCGATGTTACTTCTTATTTGTAGGGTAGATTGGCAGGACCGGGTCCAGAGATTCTTAACCCGAAATCTGTGGAGCCTCACGTGCTTCCTAAATGGGTTTCAGAGGAATCAAACTGCGTGGAAGTTTAACAAAGGTTGTGCTTCAGTGTCCTCAAATGTCATCAGAAAGCCAAAGAAATACTGTGCCCCTCAAAGGTTAAGAATGGCTTTTTGTTCAGTTTCACTGCTGATCAAGATGGTAGGTTGGATACAATGGTGTTTTCAAAACACTTGGAAATAATAATGCCCATGTTTGTTTTGTGGTGCTTTTTTAGCCATATACAGTATCCAAGTCACAAACCATTTCTCCTATACTTAGTAATTTTAGATGTATTATAAATCTAGTACCATCCCACTTGTTTCAAATTACTCCCATTAATTCACATTACAAACCATTTTGAGATCCCAGGCAATCTCAGGTGTAATTCTAATCTGGTATTGATTCCATGTGTCTTTGGGGGTAAATATTTGCTATATTAAAAAAATACTTTCCATTTATTTATTCATTTATTTGAGATTAGGTCTTGCCCTGTCATCTAGGCTGGTGTTCAGTGGTTCCCTCATAGCTCACTGCAGCCTTGAACTCCTGGGCTCAAGCAGTCTTCTTGCCTCAGCCTCCCAAGTAGCTAGAACTACATATCCAGCTAATTTTTAAACTGTTTTTTAATAGAGACAAGGACTTGCTATGTTGCCCAGGCTGGTGTCAAATTCCTGCCCTCAAGCAATCTTTTTACCTTGCACTCCCAAAGCGCTGGGATTACAGGCATGAGCCACCATGCCTGGTCTATTTCCTCGTATTTATGTGCTGTCAGATCAATTAACATAGTTCAAAAAGTATAATTTTAATATTATCAATGTTACATTTCTAACCTTTGCTAAGTGGACATTTTATGAATAAGTGCTATGATGAAATATTTTTTTCAGCAATTATGTCTGATACTAATTTGTTTATAGCATAAAGATCACAGTTGGTATAGATAAAACAGCAAGAGAAAAATGGGGAAAAACAGCCACCAAAAAATTCTTGAGAGTAGACTTTTGCCTGGTTTCCTTGAAGGCTTACCACTTTACTATTGCAAAAGAAAATATGTGTACAAATGTATTTTGTTGTCTGATACAGATTTCTTACAAATGAAAATAAGTGCTGGTCAATTATGGTCCTTAAAATGATTCAAGGATTATAAATCAATACTGAATCAAAAACCTCTTAAAATTATTTTCTAAATAAGCATGATCTAGGTAAATGGTTTTCAAATATAAGCAGACCACAAGCATCACCTGTAGAATTTATTGAAATGCATATCCCTGGGACCTCACCCCACAAGGATTCTATGTCAGTAGTTCTGCAACTAGGATCTGGAGTCTGTGTTTAACATATGCCCCAGGCGGTTTGACCACATTTTGCTAAAACTGATCTAGGTGCTAAGAGGTTACATGGAATAGCTGTAATGTATAACACCTTTAATTAAAAGAAGACTTGATGAGTGTGGAGAGGTGAGGAAGACATGGAAGTATTAGCAAATGATGTGGAATAATTTTGCACCTCAATTATTTTGAAACCCAAAGAGCTTTTGTATATGTACATTTTATATATTGTTATTTACTATATTAAAAATTAAAATTGAGGTATTTAAAATATTTATTTTTAAAAGCCACTATATATTGACTAAATAAAACCTTTATAAAACCGATTTTCCAAAATTAAAAAAATTATTGAGAAAGAATGGCATTATTTTACATTCATGCAAATCTCTTTACTGTCTAGCTTAATAGAAGACAGCTAGATTCTCATACAGGTTATCCAAAATGCTTGGGACCAGAATTGTTTTGGATTTCAGATTTTTTCTGATTTTGGAATATTTGCAGTATATATTCTTGTTCCAGTGAGCATTTCCTTTGAGCGTCATGTCAGTACTCAAAAAGTTTTGGATTTTGGAGCATTTTGGATTTCAGATTTTCAGATTTGGGATGCCCAACCAGATTGAAACTGATTCTCTATTCAATCTGTTGCAATGTTGTTTTGGTTGAAGTCTATAAAGAAAATTCAGCTTCACACAGAAAGAGGATGAGTACTTTTAATACCTTCTTTGATATTATACCAAACCTCCGTAAGTGGTAGTTTCTTAAAGGTTAATTGCATTCTGGAATCTGAAATGAGCTTTTTTAAAAAACTAAACCTTTGATACATTAAAATCAGTTGGTCCGCTTTGCACTTTTTTTCAGTGTGTCTTTCATCCATGCATGATTTTGGTTTTTAAGAGGGAGTCTCACTCTGTCACCCAGGCTGGGGTGCAGTGGCACAATCTCAGCTCATTGCAACTTCTACCGCCCAAGTTTCTGGGATCACAGATGGGTACCATCACGCCCAGCTAATTTTTTTTGTTTTTGATAGAAATGGGGTCTCACCATGTTGTCCAGGCTCTGGTATCAAACTCTTGAGTTTAAGCGATCTGCCTGCCTTAGCCTCCCAAAGTGCTGGGATTACAGGCGTGAGCCACTGCACCCGGCCTACCCATGTATGATTTTGTTATACCATTGGTCATTTGGAAACTAAGGCAGATCTTCTCATATAACTTTGATCACTGTCACCCTGATCTCATCAGGAAAGTCTTTTAAGGATTGGTGAATGAAGCTGGCAAGATTATGTGGCAGATGTAAAAAGTCTTCCAAAGTGCTTGAAAGCTCAAATTTCATCATTGGCAATAAGTACTGTCAATTGTTTTCCTCAAAGAAACAGGCTCAACTTTGTTCATTTTTAATAAAATGTCTGCCAAATACCCAAGTCAGAATAACTACGGTTTGTGAATTGTTCAAGTAAAAATGGTAGTCCATGAAAAAACAGCTAGCTCAGCTTGCAACTCAATTACACAAGTGCTTTTCTTCTAGACAACCATTGTACTTCAGTGTGCAGTGGACTGCTTCATGGGTACTTCCATTTTGTCACAAAGAACATCAAAAAGACCCATGCTCAAGGGTCAAGATTTAATGAAAGGAATAATTCTGACTGCTTGCTTCATTAAAGACAATCATAAAGGAAACTGGCTTAAAAAGAAAAAAACCTAACGTGTGGTAGTGAAGAATGCAGTGACTACTAGTTTCATTTGCTGCCACTGCTTTGATTAGTGCGAAGGCGCCAGCAGTTTCCCCATAATTGCTTTTGAACCATCAGTGCAAATGTCAGCACACTGAAAAGACAATGTCTTTGTGTTATTCTAAAAATAGTTCTGACCTCTGAGACGGTCTTGGGGACTCCCAAGAATCTAGTAAACACACTTTGAGAACCGTTGATAGAGATGCCTTGGGCCTCGCTGCCAGCATTGTCGTTTTAGTGCCAGGCATTAACATGTTTGTATTACACGACGATTTAGTAATACAGTCTGGAATACCTCTTTATGAGACGAGGCAATGTTGTCATGATTTTAGGTAGAAGAAATGGAGAGTCCACAGTAGAGGCAGTTATTCATTATTCATCTAAGAGTCTTCAGCTCCTCCAGTGTACTGGCCCCTATGAGATGCTGAAGCACAACCTCCCTCCATCCCTGTTCATCCAAGTATTTTCCTGCGTTTGAGACGGCTTAAACGCTTTCCGTGGTCTTCTGAGTAGGAAGTGACTTCGTTTGTGCTTCGTATAGGACTTACTATATTGCATGCTCAAGTTTTTTGTTTGCTTCTTGTCAATCCCTTCATTGCTTAAGACCAAAATGAGTTACTGTTTTTCCTGTAATCTACGTGTAGTCCAAAAAAGGCGAGGTGTTTTGTAAATATTTGTCTCTATGTAAGGAAATCAAAACTGAAAGCAAAGTAACACCAAGTGTGCCCGTTTCCTGAGCTCAAGCACTGGAAGGATCAAAAGTAGCGAACTTTTGGTTTACTGCCGCGGTCTTGTTCCTGCTCACTGCCGCCTCTTGGGGCCCCATATTATTCAACAAATATTCAAATTGGAGCTGGAGTTCTGAGCGGCCGGGTACTGTGTATTCCAGCGGTGGGTGTCTGTACGTAGTTAGAACCTGGCAAGAGAGCACTCGCGAGGAGCCCGCAGGCGGGGCTGGTCGGCGCCCGGGTTCTGCCCCCTGCCCGACCCTGCCTGCCGCCTGCTGCCTGCCTCCGGCTCGGGCCGCCGAGCGTCCTGCCCATTTAAGGAGGCGGGCCGTACCACCGCAACTTTCTTGACAGGGGGTATCCCGGCGGACTCGGACAACTTCAAGGGAGCCGAGAGGCGTTTTCTTTTCCTTTCTAACTGTGGCCCGCGTTGTGCTGCTGCTGGGCAGGCGCTGGGCGCCGGCGGTCTTCGAGCGTGGGGGTCCGTTGGCTTTCTCTTCTCAGAAACTGCGCCGGGGGCGCTCGCTCGCTCCGGATTCGGACGCGGCGCTCCCCAGGCTCGTCTGGAGTGCAGATCGCCGCAGAGGCCCCAGTGCCCGGATGTCCATCAGGATTAGCGCGAGCCAATACGGGCCGAGCCCGGGGCTGCGCCGAGGACGCCCGGGGCTGGAGAGCAGGTAGTCCCGTAACATCGGGGCGCCGCGCCGGGACGCGTACTCGCCCGGCTCCGCCAAATGGTGAGCGCGGCGCTGGCAGCAGGGCCCGCGGGGTGAAGGCGCTCATGGACGGAAGACCCCTGGCTCTATAAGCTGAATTATGGCAGCCCAGTCAAGGTAAGCCGGGTACCGGAGAAACTTTTTAAACGCATTCGTGGCGAGGGGAGCTGAAGGTTGCGGGGGCGGGCAGGGTGCGGGGAAGGAGACTGGCAGGAAGCAGCTTTGTCATTGCCTTCTCATCATTCCCGAGGCTGTGGCTTGACTAAATGTCAGATAAAAAACAGTTTGGAGAACATGCTGAACAATTTCTGCATAGCGGAGAGAAGGATGGAGTTAATGTGAAGATTAAAATTAGATAGCCCCCTTCTTCCCCCAGAACTGTTATTTTCCCGGACATTAAGTTCATTTCACTTGTCCGCCCTTGCCTAAATTTCCATTTCGGTTCTTTGTGCGCCTACCCTTCGGTTCTCTGGATTTCTTGCTTGTTGTCTCGAGGGGAAGTTTAGAAATACGATTAATGTAAAACATAGTTCACCTTGGAAAGGATGGGTGAGAATTTGCCTGGTGAGTGAAAATTTTACTGCTAGAATGTACGATTCCACATAAAACGGCCCCGCTTACGTGAATCTGCTGAGTAGGCAAAGACCGGGAACGCGCTGGGGTGGTGAAGGGGAGAGAGGATAATGAACTGCAGTTGCTGTCAGAGGAGCGCTATTGTAAGAACCTCAAGCCCTGTCTTTCCATGGTTTGTTACTGGTTTTGTAATGAGCGTTAAAGAAGAGTGATGACAAGGCATTAGTGATTATTATCCAAACTGTTCTGTGCGATTTTTAGTTTTGACAGCAGTTGGTGCTAAGGGAGACTTAGGAGTTATATATGCATTCTCTTTCAACTGTGTTTTGCTGGAAAGCAGTTTGGTCTCATATTTAAAAATAATAGGGCTCTTCAAGCTGATATTTGATGTAGAACAGTGATTTTGGGAGGTCTCAGAAGACTTAACAAATTTCACGTCTGAAGACTCAGATCATGGAGAGAAATGAATGTTAAATGTTCATGTTTGGGCTGGATGAGACTGAATTTTTTTTCCTACGAAGTAGAACTTTCTAAGAAGGAAAGAGCTTCTCTGTGTAGAGTATCTCCTATGTGCTACCTGCTTTTTATATTTCTTCCTCTCAACCCAGTGGTTTATCCTCTGCCTCCATTTTATTGATAGTTTTAAGAAAGTGGTTCTTAATCTGGGGCCAAGTAGTAGGAGAACTTGGATGAGAAAGAGAAGTTGCGTCTCTATTTTTGTTAACCTCTAACTGAAATTTAGTGTTTTTTTTTTTTTTTTAAAGTAGAAATAGAGATAAAACTATAGTACCAGTCCTGGTGATGTTATCACAAATAGAAACTATGTGTCTTTTCATAATCTTATTACAATTGTTGCAGATATCTTCAGATAACTTTTGCGCTTTCCACTCAGGAAATGAAGGAACTGCTTTATCTTGCTTAATTCAGTCGTAAAGAAAAACAGTACTGTACTATTAATTTCTTTTAAATGTTTTAATAGGTGCTTGTCTATATAATCTGGCCCCTTTGTATTCTTATGTATTTTATTTAATGTATTTAAAAACATTATTCTGATAGTGGTGTTATTCATCAGACTGCTACAGAGGTCTATGGCACAAAATCTTCCATTAAGATACCTTGATCTAAGAAGTTAGTAAATGCTGTGTGACAGAGCTCAGTAATATAGCGCAGGGATTTGAACCCAGGTGTGAGAGATTCAATGCCAGCGCTCTTAAACTAATGATAAAAATAAAATGAGACACAAGCTAAATTGGACACTGCTGTGTGCCAGGCACAGCGTTAAGCAACTTTAATTGGATTAGCTCTTTGACTCTTCTCAGGCACCTAAATAGGTAAGTACTTTTATTATCCACATTTGTTAGTTAAGGAAACTGAGGTCCTGCCTGGCTGTTTCTTGCTTGAGGTCACAAAGGTGGAGCAACGCCTGACTCCAGATCTGCTTTGCACACTTCCTCCCTTACGTGCTTCCTCTTTAATGCTGAGGTGAGATGTTAAAGGGAGCTGCCAAGCCTCAATATAACAGTACAAAGAATGATTCCTGCTAAAATTGGTTGTTTGTAATATGTAATAATCCTGAGTTATCAATGTGGTGGTTCAGCTTGCCAGCAATTAAAAGAGATGAATTGTGGTTATTTCTGATCCTCTACCTGGCCTTCCGACATTCCCTGGAACTAGGAACAGTCACAAGACTGTTACGTCTGCTGTTTTCTTTGTGTGTTGGGAGTATATCTCACATTTTGTAAATGTCCGTTTTCTTTGGTTACACCTGGAATGTGGTCCAAGTTCATTCAGATACTGTGCTCTATGGGAGAGAAGGTAATCTTTGAGATCCAAAGAGAGAATATATGGAGAAGATTCAATATATTTTGGGACTTCAGGGAAACTCTAAAGCTGGGCCACGTTGCCCTGAGTAGTGCTAAGAGAAACCGAAACATCACCTGTGATGTAAAAGCTCAGGTAGTGAACCATGTGCTATGCATTAGTGTTTGTTTGCTCTTGAGACTATTAATTTAGACTGACAGACTCATTGTACTTACGATTCTTAGCTCGGTGTTTAACCACACTAGTTTCATTGTGCATTGTTTAGTTTGATTCCTGATTTGATATTGATGGGTGATATATGACTTAATTTTTTATGCAAATTGATTAGGCAGTGTATTCCCGTCCCTGTAGTTCACTCCTTAAGGCAAGATATTGTCTCCCACATTTTAGTCTCCCCTACATAAGCTAGAAGTACTTTGAATTGAGAGATTACCTAAGTATTTCTTGGCTTGTGTACTTTTATAAATTAAGGTTGTATATTCCTCTACCTCATTTTAAAACCTAAGAGTAGGAAATTTGTTTTGTGGTTGATTTCTTCTCTTAAAGCTGGAAGACATTTCTTGACTAAAATGCGAATTAAATGCTTTTAAAATTTAAATTTTGGGGGCCATATTTTGAAAACAATGAATATTTGGTTTATTGTGTTCCCAGAGTTGTGGAGAAAGGTGGTCACTGAGAAATGTCATGTCAGTTAAAGCGGATAGTATGCTGTGTCTGGGCTCTCAGATAAGTGTGTGCTTTCTTTGGAACCTATAAACATAACAGACACATTGAATATACTTCCTTGTGGAAATTGCAACAAACTTGCTTTCTTTAATGTGAAATAGTTACAGAACATGACTTTAGATACTGGACTCTGATGGAAAGTGCATCCAGACTATTTTATAGAAGTATAAAAACTAGCAACTGATTAACGTAACAGTTTATAGACTTTTTTTTTTTTGTTCTGCAAGGATTAACAGTGCTTTATACTGAGGAGTGATGTTGATGAATACAGGAAAAAGGAGGGCTTTGTCTGATTCCCCGCCTCTGCTGCTAACCCTCTCATTGAAGCAAATCCCTGAATTCTAGAAAGGAAAATATACATACCTTCAAATACCATCAGGGATTAGCCAGTTAAAAAAAATCACCTGATGCTACCTGAGAACCCCTGGCCCTTCTCCACCCTGGGGCAGGGGTGTATGCGTGGGAGTGGGGGAGTTGAACTTGCTTCTTTGGGAGAGTTGAATCTGGTGGCTGAGCACGGAGCTTCTCAAAAGAAAGGATTTATAGACAAACTGCAGAAGGAAAGTAGGTTCCGTCAACTCTCCCACAGTTTTTAACTTTCGAATTTGACTAAAATTATTGTTAATGAAGCTTTGAAAAATCAGTAAAGAAGCAAAGTCAGATTGTTCCCAAGATTAATATGAAGCTGGTTTTTGGTGGATCTCTTTGACTCTGGGGAGGGAAAGTTTTCCGTTGCGAAAAGCAGTGCTCTTAAACTGGTGTAGAACCAGTTTTGCCCCGCCCTATGCCCATGTCTCTGATTCTTTGAGCTAGTGATTACCTTGGAAGAAAATTCGTGAATGCAAAACAGCTTTGATTAAAAATGAGCCAATATCAAAGAGAATGCTGTGGTTTTGGAAAGGTAGAGTTCAAGGAAGAGATTTTGGGACAGAAATAATTTATGTAGTATTTTGATCCATTGAATATTCTCATTTTTTCCTTCTTGTGACACCATTGTAAACAGTGTCCTTGACAGAAGAGAAACACAAACAGGTCTTTTAAGTGATTTCTTTCTAGTTCATCCTGAGAGCCCAGTTGAGCTTCCTGACTCACAGTCTAGAGCTGCTTCCATGATAAAGACTGAAGGAGCGGTGAGTCATTTTTTAAAGTCAGCTGATTTATGGGGATGTTGTTGTTTTGGCAAAATTAATGCAAGTGATCTCTCAAGAGATTTTGCTGGATTCTCTACCATACCATGAAAAGATATTCCATAGCTGGATTTACACTCTTGAAAATGGGGTTTTTATGGGTGCTGCATTTAAAAATTTTAAATTTCAAATATATTCAGGAATAAAAATATTACAGATGAGAGAGAAATCTACTTTTTCATCTTGGTTCTGTCATTTATTTGCTGTGAGCCTCCAAATCTATTTTTTACATAATAGCTGTAAGATAAAGGAGTTATAAAGCTGATTTGTTAACTATTGCTTTGAGGTATATATAAACTTAGTTTTCTGTTAGCAAATTTCTCCATTTCATTTTTTTTGCATAAATATACCTATTTTAGTAGAGATGGGATTTCACCATATTGGCCAGGCTGGTCTCGAACTCCTGACCTCAGGTTTCTTTTCCAAGATAGGCAAATAAACTTACTCTAATTCTGTATGTCAGATACAGTGGAAATACAATATGCACCTCTAGGACAAAGTTTCTTAGAGCCACGTTTCTTGGCTCAGAAATAGAAACATATAGTGAGGCTGAGTATAATCTCTTTGTTGTGGTTCAGTTACATTTTATTGATATAGGGTGAGTACATAACTTTTACAGTAAATGATTACCAATCAGTGCATTTTATTGATATCGGATGAGTACATAACTTTTACATGTTAAATGATTACCATTTTTACTTGAATGTGAAAATTGGGGGAGCTGAAGTAGTATTTTCTGTCTCCTTCAGATGGTCCTCAATTCCTTTTATTATGAATATAATGTGTTCATTTGCTCAAAATAACACAGCA